AATAATTTTTTACAAAATTATTTTTTTTTAAAATAAAATATGATTTGAGATCAAGGATTCTTTTAAGATTTCAAATCTGATTTTTATCTATGATGATAGCAATTTATACTTAAGGAACATTTTCAAAAATAAAAAATAAAAAATAAAAAATAAAAAATAAAAAATAAAAAAATAGAAAATAAGAAAACAAAAAATAAATATATAGGATGAATATTTAAAATTATTTTACACTATTTAATCTTAAAGTACCATTCATTCGAACGAACAAATAAGAGTGCTAATACCATCTCTATTTGTAACCAACTCTCAAGCTCGATATCCTTTCACCCACCTAGCGATAATATGGAATTGCACCAATTAACAAATGCAGATCGGGCAAAATCAAAATTGTGTGGAATTGCACCAGTTAACAAATACATGCAACACATTTTCACACTAAAAAGCAAGTTACGTACAGAATTTGGTTCAATTTTTTGAAAAGGAACCAATTATTCGTTCAACTAAATCCTTAGAAGCATATTGCAATACAAATATTCGGTGGAATTGTACAAATTAGCAAATACAGATCAGAACAAAACAGTACATTTTGACGCTAAAAAGAATCAGTGGAATTATAAGAATAATCAAATGCAAATCCAGACAAAACCGCAACGAAATTTGAATCAATTTACATGGTTTTCCAATGCAATGTGTGGGGAATACAGATATGAAAACCAATCATCCAAATTCCTAATAGATCTAAGTAGATCTAGGATTGAATTTTGAAAAAAAATTTGGCAGCAAAAATTGTAAAAATAGATCAGCACCAAAGCAAAATGATTTTAGGGAGATTGAAGTGTGTAGATGAAGAATTCAAGGTCAAATTGCATAGATCAAGAGTGAATCAATTTAGATTTGCATGAAACATACCATTTAGAGGATGCTCTAGATACCACATGATGTGATCTTTGAAACTTTTTTCAAGAATGACCGAAAAGGAAGGATCGTCCAAGAGATCTTGCAGCTGCGGATTGAATAATTGGAGTGAAGAGCTCACGGTTCCAGCATCCAAAAAAGAAAAATATACAAATGGAAAGCAAGAAAATAAAAGTAAAAGACAGCATGCCACTCTAAAGGATTGGAGATAAGCACTAATGCACTCACCACATGGAATAATCCATGATAAGAGTGAGGTTCTGAAATTTTCAATGAGAAAATTCAAAGAAAACTCACTCACTCAAGAGGAGACAATGCTGAAATTGCATCAAAATGAATCAAAATCTCTCAATTACAAAGCAGCTTAGCCTATATATAGGCAAGCTAACTTGTAACACCTTAATTTAAATTTTTAAATAATTAAACTTCGCAAAATGGGAGAAATAAAAATTTTCATTCAAGTGGTTTCCAAGGACATAATTCATTAAAATGTTTCAAAATAAATATGGTTTACAATTTGCATCAAATCATTGCTACAGGACTAATTTAATTACATCAGAGTTCTCAAAAATAAATTTCTAGTCCTATAGCAATCTCATTCATCCCTTCACTAAGCCCGGTACTGATCGTCTTGATCACCTAAAAAATAAATGTAAGGGTGAGTACTCTACACTATCACACACAAGTACAAAGACTCACCTTCGCATATCATACATATTCACTACCAATTTCAAACCATGCATCAATTAACTCATTCATCACTTTTCAATATTTCATACCAATCCACACACAAGTGTGCTCACTGCACCATCAAACAATCCACATACACACACGTGCGCTCACTGCACGTAGCCACGCTCACTGAGACACTATGATCATAGTTTCACACCATGGATGGTCGCCAGTTACCCCCGCCTCACAAATACAACGTGTGCGGTCATAAGTCACTCGGCAAAGGTATTGATCAGAGGTCCAGTCAGGAGGAGAGCGTGCGGCCGGTGGTGCACTTATGCTCACTGTTGGTGTCACCACCACCCTCTCTTCCTCAAAGTATTTCTACGGTCCTCATCTTCCATACCTCCAGTGTATCGTTGAACCATTCATAGCATATATACAACTGCATTTAACATGTTCTTTTTACACACAATTCAGTTATATTCTTATCACAATTTGCATTCAAGTTCACATACGGCAAACATGCCCACATTCATCGGCGTTACATCCATACGCACAACATTTCCAAATATAACCAAAACATACTTAGCACACATATTACTCAACACTAAACACATTGTAGCCAACCACACAATTTCCCTACAGATTGTAAAACACACAACACCCCCATTGTAATCCATATCAATCAATTCATTTTCATCCTGATATACATCTTTTCTAGGTACTATCTCAACCACATTGCAATCCATGATAAAATAAACGAATTCAAAACATAAGGAGATAGGGTAGAGTTTTTCCTGTATCTCAAATCAAAGACCTAACACAATCTAACAGTAGAGAGCGTTCCCCACACGGATTTTGTCCCTAAAACACATAGAAAACTCTATGAGAAACCACATAGAACCAAGAAAATAGAGAAGAAGGACGAAAATCAAAACTCTAGCCATTAAAACTCACCTCTAAAAGCTCCAAACTCGCTTTCAACCTTCAAACTTACTCCCAAACGGCTTTGAATGCAATTTAATTGGTGAAATAGGGTTTTGGCATAAGGGAATCAAAGAGATTTTGAACAGATATATGAGTAATGAAGTTTTCCAAACCATAAACTCTTTAAATCCTTTTCTGGTCGTGACACTCTCGCTACAGCAAAAATTTCAGAGGAAACTGCACTCTGATTTCTGCAAAATTTTGCAACAGTGAGACCATCTCGCTACAACGAGACTGCACCTAGAAATGCACCCTCCACTGTCGCCCTCTCGCTACAGCGAGAACAATACAGTTTCATGCCCTTCGCCTAGGGTCTTCTTGCTACAGCGAGAACACCCTACAACATCTACACTTAGCCTATTTTCCTCAGTCCAATTCTAACCACAAACCAACATATACATATTTCCACACACATATTAACATCCTAACAAGGTCACATGCACACATCCATATCATCATCATGTAAATCAACACACTAACATATGGCAATCCATATATATATATATATATATATATATATATATATATATTAATAATTAAACAATATTATAAAATTCAGGGCATTACATAACTCAAAGCTCAAAATAGTCTCTAATGGGCCTCAAAACAAAGAAAAGAAAAGAGATGGGGATTTGGGCTGAATACATGCTCTGAAACATGGCCTAACACAAGCCTAAACAAAAATACAAAACACTCCACCCCAAAGCCCAACGAGCTTTCCAGACCTACAGCAAAATTATAAGGCCCAAAATAAACTATTTTAAACATGAACAAAGCAAGTAAAAAGTATATACATGTGTGATCTTATGACTCCTAGGATCACATCACTAGGCTTAGGCTGAAAATAAAAGTGGCAAGAAGTGTACTAGAGTTTGTTAGAAAAGTAAAGATGCTAGTCAGATTCTGGAATTTGAAAGAGTGAGTGAGGTCAGTTAGTTTCTATACCTTTGACAATATAGCAAAAATGTGTTAGGCAAGCTTGGACTTAAAGAAAAAGATAAGATGAAGGGTGTCAGTTAGATTCTGAATTTTGACAGAAAGGTAAAAGGTGTCAGTCAAGTTCTAGATTTTGACAGAAAAATAAAAGGTGCCAATTAGGTTTTGAACATTGACAGAAAAGTAAAATGTGTCAATTAAGTTATGGACTTTGACAAAAATGTGAAATGTGTTAGTTAGGTTCTGGATTTTGACAGAAAGGTAAAAAGTGTCAGTTAGATTCTAGACTTTGATAGAAAATTGAAATGTACTAATCAAATTTTAGACTGTTATGAACATTTGAAAAGTCTCACCTTTTTCCTTTATTTTTATTTTGCAAATATTTAATGTTGTGTCTTAAGGCATAGGTGTACTTAAGGATTATGACAAGACTCTGTTAGCATGATTACTACACTAAAAAACATAGTTATTTCAGTTGGATCACATTTGCACAAGAGGATTCCTACCACATGTAGAATTCCATAGATTATATAAAAGACTAACTTAGAACTTATTCAAAACATGAGACTTATTTTTTAAAAAAATGGTAATAAGGCAAAGTTGAAACAAATACAAAAGTTAAGAGACAAAACAACACATCTTACTTCTATTGAGAGTATAAAAGTCATTTTTGTAAATTATAATTTAACCATGTTCGTTTATAAATTTAAATTAATTTATGCATCTTATAAATATATTTAAATAATAAGATAGAACTTATTTAATACAATTTAAATATTATTTTTTAAAATATATAATAAAAATTAAAAGCTAAATATTAAATATGCACATTTAATCACCATGTTAAAATATTTAAAATTTGACTCTCATTTATAATTAAAATAAAAAATAATTGACTTGACTTTGTTTAATTTTTTAAATTATAAATTTTTAAATCTTTTTATTTAAATTAATTTAATTATTTTTAAAACTGATTCAAATAGATAATTTTTATTATTATTGAATTTGAGCTAAGCTAATTATTTAGGCCTCAAATATATATTTGAATTAAGTTTGAAGGCTTAAGCAAAGAAATAAGAATTTTCTTTTAGATTAACCTAGTATAAAGTGAATAAGTCATTTTGAAAGTTCTATCTCTAAAACTTATAAATTAGTATGGTATACTATTTTTTTTTTATATAAAAAAATCTATTCATACAAATTTAGTTTTAATTAAATCAGTTATTTTTTAAAATTGAATTTGAAACATGATTCAATTTTATTATATTAGTTTATATACACTTGTTACAGAGCTATTTATTTACTTAATATAAGAAAAATATTTTAAATGTTTTTTCAAATATTATTGTTATTAAGTAAAATATGTATTAAATAAAAAATAAAATTCATTAACTAAAGAATAAAACTCATTTTATTTAATGCATTTTATATGAATTTTATGTTAAAAAAACGCAATAAAGAATGTAGATTCGCATTTCTCTGATTATATATTATATAAGTAAATACTAAAACTGAGGAGCATTAACCTGCGTTTGGATTTGGGGAGCTTGTTCTTGGATCTCCTCTCTCAACTTCGCCAATCTTTATCTCGCTTCTCTACTTCTGCTTCTTCTCCTTGTAAGTGTAAGCTTCTTCTCTTATGAACTGTTACCGGTGCTTGCTTTTGCTATGTACTCATTCTCGCGTGTTTGCGTGTGCATGCTTGATCTAGATCTGATTAACTTTTATTCGATTTCATGTTCAATATTTTGTCTGTGCAAATCTTGGTTGAAATGCTTGCCATATTGTTACGTGTTATTCTGGCAGATCTGTAGCGAGTGAACTGTTTTCATTTTCGAATAGCTACTCAAGCAGGTTTCCAACAATAACGCAGATCCGAACCTTCGCATTTGTTGCGTTGTGCTGAATCATTTCGCTTTCAAAACAGTTTTGAAAAAATATATTTCATAATTGTGTTGAATAGATCTGATTTTCTTTTTTCCCTCTTTTTGTCCGAGTTCCATTTAGATTTTAACTCGTACTGATTTATTTGACAGATTTTTAACGTTGTTGGTGAAATCAGTTAAAACTTAACACTGCATCTTTAATTTTCATAAAAACCGGACACATGCGTGCTGTGTTTTTATTTATTATTTTTAGCTTCGTCTGAATTTTGAAAATAATGTTATCGTTGCATCCAGTTTAGATGAGAACGGTTCTATGATATATTGATTCTTAAATATGTTATTTGGTTGACGCGTGCCTTCTCGTGATTTTCTGCATCCAGTTGAAATAAGAGATGGGGTTGTCTTTCACCAAACTTTTTAGCCGGCTATTTGCCAAGAAAGAGATGCGTATTCTCATGGTAGGTCTTGACGCTGCTGGTAAGACAACCATCTTGTACAAGCTCAAGCTGGGAGAAATTGTGACAACCATTCCCACAATTGGTATTCTCCTGAATCTGTCCTTTACATGACAACCATTTTTGTTTATGTTCCAACTTTTTCATTTTCTATAATTTTAGAACTCGCAATGCTTTATGATGTGTTTTCAGTAACTATTCATCCTCCATTGCACATGTTTTGGTTATTGAAAAGGGAATTGCCAATTGATGTTATGTTTGTTGTTATACAGGATTTAATGTGGAGACTGTGGAATATAAAAATATTAGCTTCACTGTATGGGATGTGGGTGGCCAAGATAAGGTTTGTGGCATGTATATTTCTTTTTTTTACTATAAGTTCTGATAAAACTTTTGGAAGAATCTTTTATTAAATTTGCCAATGAATTATGAACTATAGATTTTTTTTCCCGATCCTTTTCTTGTCAGTAAAGCAATCTGAACCTGAAACAACAGTTGTGAATATGTGGTAATAACTACTTTTTTTTTATTTCAAACTTGCCTTCATCGTCAACATAAGCTACATTTATGGCATCCGTCTTGTTTTAGGTTATTCTTTGAACCATATTAGGGAAAGTTATCAGTGTTGTGATTTACGTTTTATGAAAAACTTAAAGAATTCATATGATCAGTGATGAAACTCCAAAACATCAATCAAAAGTTTGAGGGGGCAGGAACTGATCTTCTTCTCTGTACTCCATCTGCATTTGAGTTAGCTTAGGTCCTGGTTGTGGTGAAAAACTTAAGCTTTCACTGTGAAGGAAGTTTTATGATAAAACAAAACACAAAACTTTGGGTTGCCAGCTGCCACCCTCCACCCTGAAGAAGCTCCGCCACTGCCTATGAACAAATGTGAAGTTTTCTTAATTTATTTCATATTTCCCTTGTATAAATTTCACTGCCTGAAATATGTTGTTTTCTATGGCAATGTGGCAATAGATGGTCTTGTGCCAAGCAGAGTTCTCTCATTAGCACACAGCACAAACATAAACAGATAAACTACATAATATATTGAGCCATCATGGTTTTTAAGTTTTCCCTGTATCAGTGTGAGGGATGGCTGGCTATACATGTGGCTTGTGCTCCAGATGCTAAACAAAGAATTCCTACATACATATTTATCTGTGTAGGTTGATGAGTTGCATATGTTTGTGGACAGTCTCGTGCAGAGTAGTCTTGTCATGTGTGCATTTTTTTTAATGGATTTCCATGAAGGCCTTCTTCATTCATTCATTTTTGTTGTCTTGAAAGTATTTACCAATTGTGTTTTCTGATATATGATTTAGATCAACTCCATTTTTACTGTGTTCCTGTTTACTTTGCCGAATATTTGGATGGTTACTATGGCTTTTGTGCCCTTATAGAGAACATGCGAGGACTATTAGGTTAACTTCTTATTTTGTTTTGCCACCAGTTCTATTCTTGCATGCTAAACATTAATGCTCTTTTGTATGGTGCACTTGCAGATTCGTCCTTTATGGAGACACTACTTCCAAAACACACAGGGGCTTATCTTTGTTGTGGATAGCAATGATCGTGACCGTGTTGTTGAAGCTAGAGATGAGCTCCATCGGATGTTGAATGAGGTAAATAGAAGACACTAAAAGCTGGGTGAATCTAAATTATGTTAACAGCATCAGTTTTATTGAAAGGTCTTGCATGCTGAGTTGTTTTGAATAAATGACATTGGATTTGAAATTTTGATAATTCCCTCTCTGTGTCTACTCCAGAAAGCTCTGGCAATAGTTATATGCTTTTTATTGATATTCTTCTGGTAATAGCCTTTCTCAATTGACATTAAGAGTGACGACGTGAAATTGTAGCATTATATTTTGGGGTTGAAATATAATTTATCTACTTGGTTAATGTGTAGGATGAGTTGAGAGATGCAGTGCTCCTTGTCTTTGCCAACAAACAAGATCTTCCAAATGCTATGAATGCCGCAGAAATCACTGACAAGCTTGGTCTTCATTCTCTTCGTCAACGCCACTGGTATCAAATGCATTTCTGTTATATCTGCCTGCTTTCATCTTTATTGTGTGCCTAGATAAATAGATTTAGCTGTTGGGTGTTTCTTTTCATCACAGGTATATCCAGAGCACATGTGCAACCTCTGGGGAAGGACTCTATGAAGGACTAGACTGGCTCTCCAACAATATAGCGAGCAAGGTATGGCTTAAATTCTGCATCTCTTTTATCGATGCTCTGCTTTATAGTTAAATGGTTAATTTCTGTTTACTTTTCTGGATCAGGCTTAGAGACGTTTTTGTCGAACGCTGCTATTTTGCTCTGTACTATGAGGTGGAAGGTGGAATGGGGGTTGCTTCACTTATAGCATTAAAATCTTTTATTTTTCCGTCACTCTATATAGTTTTTTGGGTCTTTATTTTGTTTTTTGATACTATATGATAGTTATCGTATTTGTTCCCGTAGGATTTCTAAATAACTAATGAGTAATGAATTACGAACTATACGTGTCACGACTATGTTTTTCATAGCAATCTGCACCAATCAATAATCTCTAAGCCTTTTTCAATTTAAGCTTCGATTTATCAGGTATTCAGGTGGACGATTTATATTTTCACTCCGTATATACTTTTAAATTTGTAATCAATGGATTCTAGTATATATATATATATATATATATATATAACGTAATGGTACTGCGATTTTTATTTATTTTTTAATTATTAGTAATATACATATGACTATTGAGTCATGAGCCGAACATACTGGTACGCTCGCAATGTCTGTCACCAACTTCAGGCTCACAGATTCGGGGTTAATAGTTTTTTTTATTTTTTATTTTATTTTGGCAACGAGTGTTGCGAAAGGCGAAGAGAAATTTGCAATTATTCAACCAATATGCGGTTTAATGACCAATGCCATCCATGCGGTGCTCATATCTTATTACTTTTTTTGTTTTAATTCTTTTAAATATATTTTGTTTTACTTTCTTCATTTTCATAAACTTTAGTTTTAATATCTATTTCTGATTTGGTTCACTAAAAATTTGTCAAATGTTAATTTTTTATTAGACTACATAAAATGGGATTAAAAGTCATTTCCTTTTAAATACTGAGACAAAATAAAAGTAAATTTTGAGGGACTAAAAGAAAAAATTGATAAAATGTAGGAATTAAAAATATATTTAAGCTACATGAAAATGTGTTGCTAATTCGTAATTTTACTGTTTTAAGATTAGAGATCAGATTAAGTAAGCATTTAAATTAGTGCTTATAAAAAATTAATATAAAAATTAAATAAATCAAAATTTTTATAAGTTAAATAATTTATATTTTTTAAGTTTTAAAATAGTTAAATAAAATTTTAAAAAAATAAAAATAAGTTAATTCATATAAGTTCTTATTGTAAAAAAAATTCAAATTAGGACTAAAGCTAAAACCTTACCGAATTAGAAAATTTAGAAGTGATAGAGAACTTTTAGTTGAGTGATAGATTTTTATCTCTTAGTTAAATATAGATTTTTTTGTAATTTTTATTTTTGATTATTTATTATTTTAAAATTATTATTAATCATTTGATTTTGAATTTGTTGGTTCTTAGTCATATTATGGTTCTCATACACGTCAATAAATTGAGAGAATTTATCTATAGTCTTGATGTGTTCTATTTGTAATTTTGATCTTTTAGTATTTTTTTTCTAACTCTTCTTTCTCTTTTAATTTTTTGTATGGTTGAGAGAAAAGTAAACTTTTCTTATTACCATCTTTTCTTATTACCATAACACCTTAAGAGCTATTAGTATAAGAGAAAGACATACGATACACTATAATGGTGAAATATACTAAGGTAATTTTTATATTTCACCATTTCTAAATAAGATATCAAAATTTGGAGCAAAACCAGAAAGTATCTTAACTACTACGATACGATCGGGCTCACCCTGAGATGAGGAAATAGGGGTGATCCTTCTCTTCTTCTTTGACTGATAAGTACTTTAAGTCCATATGTTTTGTTCTCTTTGAGTACTTATCATTCTTAAAGAAGAAAATAGTTGCCGAATTATCACAATATATTCTTAGCGACTTTTTTATACTATCAACTATACTATGTACTAAGACAAAGTTCCACAACCACAATGGAGTGGACTCAAAGCATGCCACAAAATCTACCTCCACAGTAGACATAGTAATAATGGACTCTTTTATGCTCTTCCATGAATTGCATCCTCAACTAATAAAAAGATGTAATCAAAAGTCAATTTTCTCGAGTCTACACATTCAATATAGTCTGAATTTAAGTACCAAATCACTTCAAGGTGATAAGATATTCCATAAGTAAGCATGTGTTCCTTGGTGTATTGTAAATACTTAAGGATTTTCTTTGCAACCTTTTAGTGGTCGATTCTGGAAATACTTTGATCTTGTCCTAACTTTCTAATAGCAAAATTGATATCCAATCAAGTGCATGTAGAGCATATACTAAACTCTCAACCACTAATGCATAGGGAATAGATTCCATTGATTTTTGTTTCAACTCATTTTGAGATATTGCATTTTATTAAAAAAACTCTCATTGTTTAATTGGAACCACCACTAATGAGCATTTTTTTCATTTTAAATCTTTCTAAGGCTTTGTTGATATAACCTTTCTGAGACAATCCTAACAATTCTTGTGATCTACTTCTAATCACATAGGATGCCTCACCCATATCTTTCATCTTGAAGTTGTTAAAGACAAGCTCCTTTACATTGTACAACAAGTCAACATCATTAGTAGCAAGAAAAATGTCATCAATATACAAAACCAACATAATAAACTTGTTCCACTAACCTTCATATAGATACACTTGTCAACTATATTCTCTGCAAAATCATATGACGTAATAGTATCGTTGAACTTAAAATATCATTGTCTAGAAATTTGTTTTATAGCCTATATATTGACTTATTTAACTTACACACCAAATTCTCTTTTTCTACTGTTAAGAAACTATTTTGTTGGTTCATTTAAACTTCTTATTCTAAGTTATCATTCAGAAAGGCGATCTTTACATCTATTTAGTGAAACTCTAGGTTATAATGAGTCACTAAAGTCATAATAATTCTTTAAGAATCATTTTTTAAAATTGACAAAAATGTCTCTTTATAGTCAATGACATTATTTATGAGTGTACCCTTTATCAACAAGTCTAACCTTGTACTTTTCAAGTTGTCTTTTGAGTTTCGTTTGGTCTTAAATACTCATTTACAATCGACTTATCCCGAACCTTTATGCAACCCAACTAGTTCCCACACCTTGTTGTCATTCATTAATTTTAACTTTTATTTCATGGCATTCAACTACTCAGAATCATTACATTTCATATCTTGCTTAAATGAGACTAGATCCTCCTTATTACTTAAGTCACATTTATGTTCAATCAAGTAAACTATATAATTATCTGAAATAGTAAGTCTTTTCTGCTTTACAAATCTTCTCAATGTCATCTCTTGTGGTTCATCTATCACTTCCTCATTTGTGATTAGAGGTGGGCAAAAAATCCAAATATAGAGATCCAATCTATAAGCTAAACTAAACTGGATTAAAAAATCCAGATTTTAAAAAAAATGAGATACCAAGTCCACTTTATTTTTGGTCTAGACATAATTGAGATTTTATTTTATAAAAATGGATTTAGTTCTATCAAAACTGATTTTAGTCTCTCCTCTATGTAATTTTTTCAATAGATCCTAATCTCATTCTCGACGTAGAATTTTACTTTAGGCTTCAGTTACAACTGGACATTGGGAATAATTGAGGATCCTACGTTGATTTTTTGGTGCCTTAATTTACATAATTAATCCACGTCATGTTAGGCTTAAAACAACAAAAACCACGTGTTTGGGGTTAATAACCTTATTCATATCATTTTTAAATTAAGGTTAACTTATATATTAAATAACTTTTTATAAAACCTACATCGTTAAAGTCAAATTTTAATTGTGCTATTCAAAGTCTTTTAAATATAATAAACTACATGTAATATAATAAAACTATTTTAAATAATAATTTAAAAATTACTCTAATTTAATTTTATAATCATAAATAATATGTATTTAAAAAAAATACAAATTCAATCATTTTAAATATAATTTATTAAATATACACGTAAACTTGTTTGTATTTTTAAAGTAACTTCTAAAAACTATAAAATAAAATTTTATAAAATTATTAACGTATAACACTTATTTATGTAATTTTAAACTGAATTTAAAACTCATTTAATATGAACTAAATTTAAAATTAATTTTAACAAAAACTAAATTTAAAATTAATTTTAAATTAACTTTAAATTTTAAAACTACTTTTAAATTGATTAAAAAATAAAATAAAATAGTTTAAAATTTAATCCATATAATTAGGTTGTGTGGTGTACAGATAATAAAATATATAATATATTCAAATATATATGAATTTAATAAAATATAAAAATAAGAAAAATTATATTATCAATAGATTAAAATATATGTAAATATAATTTTAATATTTTTAATATAATAATTTAATAATAATACAAAAATATTTATAGTATATTTTTATCCAATTTAAAACCGGTTTTAAACCAAATTTAACCCAATTTTGAAAACACTAAAATGGATTGGTTCAAAATCCAATCCATATAAATAGATTTTAAATGGATCTAGATTGGTTTTTTAGAAATCCAATCCATGCATACCCCTATTTGTGATTTATGCATTATCAGTTGGTTCGTTATCATATTTGCTTTTTGTGGGTTTAGAACATTAATTTGTTATTTTGGCATGTTGTGTGATTATGATACAACAAGAGAGACAACAAGAGAAAAAAACACAAGGTATATGAGTTTTCATATGTGTCTCTTTAATTTTCACTTTTCATGATTTTTCACCCCACTAAACTGACCATTCTCAATGAATTAGACATTTCAAACTCAACTATTCTCATACTGTGGTTAGGACAATATAATCTGTACCCTTTTAATTTTTTAAGACAGCCAATGAAATAATCAGCTTCATTTCATGTGTATTATACACTTCAATTTATGCTAGACAACCCTAAACACAAAGATGCCTGAAATTAGGTTTCTTTTTTGTTCATAGTTCATAAGAAGTCTTTGGAATTACCTTAATTATAACTTTATTAAGTAGATACGCAAGTAGTCTTTAATGGGTGGATCCACATTGACATAGGTACAAAATTGTAACTTAACATACTTCTAACCATTTAAATAAAAGTAAGATTCTACTGTTTAGTCACACCATTTTGTTGTGGTGTATTAAACATTATGTACTGTCCACATATGACTCAACTTTCCAAAAATTTTGCAAAAGGACGTAGACATAGTTCACTTTCATCAAATTTACCATAATATTCACCACCTCTATTTGACCTCATAGTTTTTACTTTTTTATCTAATTGTCTTTTAACCTTATCAATAAACACTTGTAAGATGTTCATTGATTGAGATTTTTCATGCAATACATATATATATATATATATATATATATATATATATATATATAACAATACCGTGAGAAGTCATCGATAAAGGTAATAAAATATTTTAACCATCCCCAAAGAGGATGTCAAAGGGACTGCAAATATTAATTTGTATTAACTCAAAGAGTTGACTGCTTCTTGTAGCTGGATTCTTTGATATGTGTTTAGTTTTTTTTTCCCTCAATACAATCTCCACATACATCACAGTTAGCAAACTTTAATTAAGGTAAAATTTTACTTCTCATTAACCTTAACATCTTTTCTTTGAATATGTGATTCAACCTTTGATGCCATAAAAAAACATAACATTCATTGTGTACATTCATATAACTATTAATACTATTCTCAACATGAAACAAACATTCAATAAATTTAACATTAAGATTGAAATGATATAAACAATCTATTAAAGTACCAGAACCAAAATAGTATATGTGTTTATATAAGGAAAATACACTATTACCAATCTTAAAGTTAAAACCAACATCATCTAACTTTGCAACAGAAACTAAATTTTTAGCACATTCAAAAACATAAAGACATTTTTCTAGATCTATACAACAACATGTATGTAAGATCAATTTATACATCCTTATTCATTCTATGTGTGTCTTTGTTCTGTTTTCCATATAGAAAAACTTTTCAATTTCGCTTATGGGTTGGATCGAAAGGAATCTCTACATTATATGTGACACATGAGTAGTTTTACCATAATCTAACCATCAGGTATTGTTGGATATCTCAATAAGATTTGATTCAAAACATACTGAAACATAGTATTTACATTTCTTTTTGAACCAAACCTTTCTTTTTGGACAATCTTTCTTGAAGTAACCAACCTTCTTGCTGAAAAAACATGAGGCCTTATCTTTCTTGTCTTTTTTACATGGCTTAGTCTTGCTACTACTAGCCTCTTCAAGAAAAATGAGATGGACAAAGTGATCTTTCACTTTCTTCAATCTTCCTTCCTCCAAAACCAACATGATCTTGATTTTCTGTAAGTTTCATATTTATTTAAGAGTGTTATAATTCACCTGGAATTGGCCAAATTCGAAAGGAAGTGAGTTTGTGATGAATTGTACCAGAAAAACTTCACTCACTTCTATGTACATTAGTAGTCAACTCACTCAACAAAGTGATTAAGGCAAACTTATTAGTAATGTCTGACTGTGCAAACTCTTATCTTTTCCATAAATTCCCTTACATTATCAAGACGAAAAGATTTACAGTAATTTTTGGAACAAACCTTAGAATTTAGAATAAAACAAGTTTCAAGAGTCCTTTTCCTCTGCTTGCTTCTTATGGGAAAAAAAATTCTATCAAAAAAATGTAATATACTATTTCAAATCTCTTGTTGATCAGGCGATACCCATATTTGAACTAGGAAAAAAGGATTTGCAGTCCTCCGCCTTACCACTCGGCCATGCTGCCAAAACTAATGTGTGTGTGTGTGTGTGAGTATATGAGAATTCTCACTTTGCCCCCTAAAGGAGGAGTCTTTGACATTGATGACTTTACATTTTTAGACATAGTCATCCTCAAAAAGTTCAAGTTTAACCTATTAGTCCTTTCCCAAGCCTCATAAATAGTATTTTCATCATTCATACTAGTTTCAATAATGGCTGTAGGCTTTTCTTTCACTATGATAGCTAGGTCCAAATTCATAACACCTAGTTAGAATCAAACTTGCTTAGTACAATCCTTATAGTTCGATGCATTGAACTTTGACTATGCCATTGCCTAGACCAAATATGTTTATAGAGACTGCATTATATAATACACACTCAAACATTAACACTTTGAATAAACTTAATGAATTCAAATAACAACCAATTTCAATTATGCCCCTAAGTTCACCTTTGGACAATACCTAAATTCATAAATTTAATTTGTAATAATGTTACAACAAACATGCTTTAATAGATAATCAACCACACTCAAGCTAACATGCATGTTATTTTGGATATACAAACACATTATTAAGTACTTACATGTCTCTTTTATATCATTAATCATATATAATGATCCATCTTTGGGTGACCTCCTAACATTATAACTAATGATCTAAATTATTTATCCTAAATTTTATATCACTTAACAACATCATACAAATTTGAACAATTTATAATACACAATTAGATGTTTAAATAATCTTTTAAAGTTGGGCCACTTTGGTAAGTAATAAGCTACTCATACAATTAAGCATTAAATTGTGAACCATTCATTATGATCATACAATTTAGAATTAATAAAAATGTAGATTTAATCACTTTGGTGATTAAAACTTCTCTAATATAATTCTAAAATACTTTTTAAATTTTATGAAACATATTTTGCAATTCACTGTGAAACACAATCATGCTACATCTTATGCATAGTCGTGCTACCCCTCATATATGGTCGTGCTTCTCATTATGTAAAATTGTGTTTAGGCACAATTGTCCCAACTTTAAGTACAATCATGCAACTTTCGCAAATTGTTATTATCATTGTTTTATATATTTGCAAACAAAAGTTCATAGCGTCTAAAACTATAGAGTTTATGTTAATTGAACCCTAAACTATCATATAATTATGAGATAACCCGCATCAATTATACAATAATTATAATTAACCCTAATTTTCACAATTTTCTTCTAAGATTCATGTAATTTGCGAAAAACTTTCATAGAGAATTAATCTTTTATAAAGAATTATGAAATTCATAATCTAGGATTCTGATACGAACTATGAAATTTTTTATAATTTCTATTTCTAATTATTTACTATTATAAAATTATTATTACTTGTTTGATCATGAATTTCATAGGTCTCACTCACATTATGATTTTCACGCACCCAACAATAACATTGAGAAGACTTACCTAAATCGATATAGTCTTGATATATTTTTTTTTTTGTAATTTTAATCTCTTAAGATTTTCTCTCTGATAGTTGAAAGAAAAATAAACTTTTCTAATTATCATAATACTATAAAATGAATCAGTATTTTAAACCTTATTTTGGCAACCAAGAGAAAGATGATGATTACCTTTTAATTATATTTCATTGGATCTATCTTTTATAATTAACAACTATCACATAAAATCCTTCATGAGTTCCATGAGCCACTTATTACATTGCTAAAATATCTAACATAAAGAATTAACAAACTTATTTAAAATTTTCAAAGGCATTTTTCCAGTGCTTACAAATTCAGGAATTAATACTAAGATTTAATCTAAAAGGCACAGTCAGGTTAGAATCGAGCCTTTAAGAAAATTTTGCAAATGCTGTTTATTGATACAGGTAACAAATTGCGACCCAAAAACAAACACACGCACGCTTACAGGAGTACATTACCTTTCATTTTGTGTATAACCTGTTACATGTGATCCTTTCTATGTGACAACGGATTATATATATGCCAGAAAGCATTGGCAAGCAAATTTTGTTCCGAAGTGTGTAAAAATAAACAGAAAATGCTCGTGGCATTTGAAATTTATCTACTGCCTCAATACTCGGTTTGAGCTCAAGAGAAAGTTTTCTTCACCAGCAACGGTGGAATGTAATCGTCCTGCTGCCCAGCCATTATTAATTGCTCGAACCGCGGCCCGCGCTGGATCCCCTGTTACACGGCTTCCCTCAACATGCTTTACAAATTCAGGAAGACCAGCTGCTTTCCTCTCTTTCCTTTTCCTTTTATCTTCATCTCGTTCTTTCCGCAGCCAACTCTCAACAGTTCTCTGCATATTCAAAACCAATTAGACACTTTTTGTTTTTAAATTTTTAAATTTTCAAATTGCGCTGCTTGGACATATGCTCTATTCTGTTCACTTCCACAACCATTAGTTGGTATTTAAGGCCATCGGCTGACTAAGGCTCTGTTGCTATGATACAGTGAGTGTGACAGGTGCAAATGATTAATCAAAAGCTTTTTTAAGTCAGGATTAAGAACATCAACCACTAGTTTTGCTAATTTCTTTGACTAAGGCTCATATATTACTAAGATTCAGCGAATGACACAGGAGTAATTGATCAAAAACTTTTAACGACAAGATTGTGAACAACACTAACCATTAGGGACAATTGACTAATTTCTTTGACTTTGTCCATAGGCATTGCTAGTTGAAGCTTTCCATGGGCTACATAAACCTGATAAAAGAACTTTAAGAATGATGACGGATTACACTAAAACATTGATATAAGAAGTTTAAAACAGAACATGGACATACAATATTCGTGGGCCAATCCTCAAGACCATCAAATATATGTGTTGCATAGATAATAGTGGCACCTCTCTCTTCACATTCCTTTCTTAGAAACCTCAGAAGGTCAGCTCTTGCTAGAACATCAAGGTCAACCGTTATCTCATCGAGAAGAAGAACCTATATAAACAAGCAGCAAGCTCGAAAATATGTGCTATGAAGCCACAAATATAAGATTATTCTAATTCAACAAGTGAATCTTAAAAAGAATGAGGCTAAAATGACTTTTTGATACATCAATCAAAGGATTATCATACTTTAAATGGTTTGAGGAGACCCATACAAATTTGCACTCTTCTTCTTTGACCATCAGATATTTTATGCAATCTCCAGGAAAGATTGATATCTAATACCTGCCCAGTTGAACAGCAAAACAGGAAATAAGATAGGATTTTCCAGGGACATTTACACACACACACACACATTGCCAATTTGCTACAGAAACCTTCCTAGAAATTAGCCATGCATAACCAGAGAACATGAATATCAGGAGAATGTAATTTCTTAGTTTTAGTCAAATCAAGCACTGGCGAGCTCAGTCTTTATGCCAGCTACCAATATAAAATTCATCGTTCCATATTAAATGCATGTAGGTTCTCCTTTTTCCACCCCTAATTAGTTTCATCATATTTTATTGAAATAAATTGCATAAGCTTTTAAGAGAAACCTCATGCGACCGCCACTACCACTAGTGGATTAAATGTTTTTACTCAAAACTGATATAATCCCGCCTATGACTACCCTAATTAGCGTTGTTAAGATGGAATTGAAATTTAACTTGTGATTATAATTTTACGATTTAATTCTTTGCACAAGTCAAGCATAAGAACTATGATTCTGAACCAATTCTAATTTTAACAAATTGAAATTAAAAATACAATTCTGAACTACAATTTTAATTTCATGCGCCAGATAGACCGTAACAGAAAATTATTCATCGTGTAGCTTTGGTTTGTTTTATGTCTTGGTAAACTGCAAGGTGTTCCAGGACCAGTAATCTCATCTAACATGAAGAAAAAAAAAAAATCACGAAATATGGTTGAATCATAAAACTAAGGAACCGCATTCAGCTTAAGTTAAATCCATAAAGGTTAAAGAAAACATTCAATCAACCTTGATCAGCTCTGCTCTTCTTTCAGGATCAATCCCACCTACACCAAATATCATTTTTTCAGCAGAAACGTCCATTTGTATTGGAACCTCAAAACCTGCAAAAGCAACATCTCGCCTCCACTGTGTCCCGATCCCCAACAAAAAAAAAAATCACGGAATCAATTACTAACAGTTAAACAATGGCAACATAAAATTTCTGGTGTGTGGTTGCAGACACAGTGAGAGCAGTCGTGAAGTTGTAATTCAGGAATTCAGCATATAATTAGTTGAATGGCAAAATGGTCGGCAGTGAATTCAGGAATAATAACAATAATAACAATAATAACAGTAGATAGTTGAAGAGGAAAGGAAAAGCACGAACCTCGCCACCAAGATAACAGAGATCACCAGAAGATGTTAAAGTGGTGTCATGAAAAGCTGATCTTCCGAGAACACGAACCATATGTGGCTCCACCATGTGCTTCCCTCCTAGTATCTTCAGAATTGTCGTCTTCCCTAGTATATGTAAGAATTTCACAAAACAAATCAAATTTATAAATGGAGATGCAATGCGCAAATGCCTCTTATTTTTAGCTTAGGTTTGAAAGAGAGAACCAGCGCCGTTGGAACCGACGAGAAGACAGCGGTCGCCGGAATAGAGAGTGAGAGAGAAATCTTGAATGAGAGAAGTGGAACCCGGCGGAGGATGGCCGTCGATGCCAGGGTATGTGAATCTCAGATCCTTTATCTCAATTGTTGCTGCTTTTGAATCTGAATTAACACCCATTTTCAACTTCGGTTTCTGTTTCTGCTGCACCCACTTTCCTGTATTAATATATCAATTCAATGGATGAATTGAATTGGTGTTCGGTGAGGAGTGGGGAAAGAAACTAAGGGGATGCGTGGCTACGTCTCAGACACTCGCGCTCAGTTTCCCCGACCTACTCAAAACCATTGGGCCTCTCTCTAACAGAGGCCCATAGATTCGTTTCTTATGCTATGCGATTGTATATTATGCCATCGAAAATTATTTTTATTAAAATAATAGAATTATTCAGGACTTTGGTCATCTAAGTCAAATTTGCTTTCTACTATTCTCTGTGTTGTAAGGTTACTGGTTCCATATTAGATAAGTGACTTGACAATTTTGATATAGGTAGAGCACCTTAATTCATTTTATGTGATCAATATCTCTTGCTAAACATTTTATGTTTTACGTGCCCTCTCATGCAAATGAATAGGCCAAATATATAAAAGGCAACTAATTATGAGGAGTAGGAGCCACGTCCAGAGCTTTAATTTGATGATGGAAAGCAAAAATGAAAGAGACAGCGAAAAGAAAATGGTAATTGAATAATATTTATAGTTAAAAAGGTTTATTAAATTAAGAATAAAAGCTAGTCGTTGATGTGAACAAAACACCGCCCCAAAGGTTGTGCCATAATCCCAAATTTTATACGAAGGTGAGCTTTATAAAAAGATTAGGATTAAAATCATTATACTACGTATTTAGTAGAGGTCTAACTGGACCGAATAATGTATGAAGCAAGGGTTCGCATGTAAGGTATTCGTACAATGAATAGGCAAGCGCAGGCTACAGCATCAAGTGGCAATAGAAACAGCGAAGGACAAAGAAAACATACAAACAAAAACATATCCATTTATAAAATTAAGGATATGGTAATCATATCTCTACAATGGCATAACTGGAAAAAGAAAAGAAAAAAAAAAGGACACATAAAAAGGGTCCTCGAGACTTGACAACATTAATAAAAAAATACGTAAAACTTAACGTTGTATGACTCCATTTCCTATCCTATGTACTCGGGTCACACTTGATTTCCAAAGATAAGCGAAGCACACTAAGCAGCGGATGGAGCGGGAACAAACTTGACTCCACCAGCTTCCAAAAGCGCCGCCGTGAACTTATCCACATTGACGGGATTGTTGTAATCCAAGGTCTCGTCTTCATATATGTCCCACCACTTCTTTACTAACATCTTTATATCTTCTCTCTCCATGTTCTCCTCCTTCCCAGTGTACCTCCAAGGCTTTGATCCCTGTCACACCAACGCAACCAAATTAAATATGTAATCAACTTTAAATTTGGGTTTCATTTCAGTGTCAGTTGTATTTAATCAAACACTCACAGCAGCACAGTAATGAACCACTTTGACTTTCTCAAGCTCAACATTCTCAGGGTGACGCCACAGCATGGCCAGCACAAGATTGTATATGTTAGGAATGGGCCTATACTTGTCCTTGAAGTACATGTTCAAAAAATCCTACAAAACAAATCAACACAAATTAATATCCACTCAAGTGTTTTTCCAAGTGACCAAGAGTAAGATTAACTGAGTAACAAACAAGAACCTGCTCAGCAAAGGAAGTGGGCTTGGTGACTTGGACTGTTGCAAGGAGGTCACGGTAGGTAGCGAGGTTAGGCTCATAAACAAACATTCCAGCGTTGAAATAGAGAGGAGGCTTGGGCCCAAAATCAGAGGGCCACTCAACCTTATCAGGGCACTGCTGACAGTAACCGATCTGGTACTGAGGGGTGTGGCCCCAAGTTGGCTCGCAGAAACAGTCCATCACAGCATAGAAATAATTGTTTGGCAAGTCGAACAAGTGGTCAATGTTGTCATAAACTTGGATATCACCGTCTAGATATATCATCTTGCTGTACTCCACAAACTGCAACATGAAATTCTCATCAAACATAAATACAAATCCGCGTATAAAATAAACACTGATTTAATAGTTCATTTTCACAAGTGTATAAAAAAAACGCGTTTCCCTAATACCAGACACTTACTTAACCCACTTGGACAATCTCAATATTATAGTATCGTACCACGACAACACTAGAACGTGTATTGTAAGATAACAAGACATGCAATGCAAAACAATAATAATATATATAATATACGTACCTCCCAAATACGTAGCTTGGAATAGTTGATGACATAATAAGCCATGGCAAACTGGGTCTGGTTCTTAGGGGGGTAGACGGGCTCAATCTCTCTAACAATGCAACCTTGAGAGGTGAGAATCTTGCGGTGTTCTTGGGGAACATCAGGTAGCACTGCAACCACCAGAGGGTACATGCTCTTCACCTTTCTCAGACCTTTGGCCAACCCAACAACACCTTTAACATAGTCACCGTTCCCAGCCAGGAAGGTCACGTAAGCACGGCCATGACCGCCGGTGACCTTAGCTTGAGCGTCGGTGACGTTTGATGCAGCGTTGGTAATATCAGGAGCCATGGTTTCAATGAGTGGCGTTTGGTTATTGGAAAGTAAGAAAGTGGGTTTCCGAAGGAAGAGGAAGAAGGAAATGAAGGGCTTTGTTTACAAAAGACTTGGATTTAGAGGACTTTGAAAAGTTGTAAGGAAGATCTTGGTTTGTTGTGATGCTGGGGAGGGGAATGGCGTGTGCTTATATAGATGTTTGGAGGGTATTATCGTCATTACACTCCCACTAATCCAACGGTTAAGGATATCACTATGGACGCGCACGGTGATAAATGGTCTTTGTTGATTAATTAATTAATCTAACGGTTAAGGACGTGACTCTAGAATCACGCGGTTGTGGATACTCAGTGACACTGATTAATTAATTAAAAAATGAGTTAATTTATATTATCTTTTTGGCATCCTTACAACGTTAGAGACTTCCAGTACTCATTCGGCATGAATTGTGTTTAATTGAAAACGATGGCCAGTATAGATGCCATAACATTTAAAAACCTTTCATATTTTCTAATGTGTACAAGACACATAATAAAAAATTTAATAAATAATAAATATATATTAAAATATAAAATATTTAAATTTAATAATGTTAAATATATTTAATAAAAAATATTGTTGTTTATTATATATTCTTAAATATATAATAAAAACATTAAAAAAATCTTAGCATCCATATTTTCTTAATTGATCAATAAAATATTAAGATAAATATAGCAAGCGATTGGCCACGACACTTTATGTAGTAAAAGGATTTTCATACATATTTATTATTTTGAAAAAATACTTCCTTAAAGTGTCCTTAAACCACAAATTAGTATTTTTCTAAAAAGAATTGTAGTATGGGAACATATCAGAAGCTTCTCTTTTTCTGTAAAGAAAATATATGAAGAACATTGAAGTGGACTGACGAAAAATGGACACATCTGCAGCTATAAGTGTTTGCTTCCTAACAAGAAACCAGAGAGGGGGAGGAACCTTGACCAATTCCCTCAAATTTGACCAGAAGTCTAGAACAAGTGACGCGTGTTTATTTGCTATTAGAATTATTAATTACCAGCGAATTCTCTTATAGCACATACTATGATTTGCAAATTCTTTTTCATTAAAAATTAAGAGAGATTTTGACTGTAGTTGTGCATGTTTGGGTTAATCTTGAGAGTTTATGAACCAAAGCAATTATCAAACACAAATAATTTAGAAACCGACTTGGACTAATTGGGAAAAGTTAAATTCGAAATGATAAATACAGATAACTAAGTAGATTTTATGCTTCTTGTTGAGGGCTCACCTCTTCCCAAGTGCTGATTAATTGGAAGTTGAAAAGCTACGAATGTGAAAAACAGTTTTTTAGTCCATAAACGACAAAAGAAATAATAGAATATTCCTTTTCAGGTTAACTGCCACCGCCCCCACCAGTGGCTACGATCACCACCGACTGGCCCTACGTTATTAAATTCTGGCCAAGGGGAGGCACGTCGACCGTTGCTAGACACGTGGCTTTTCACAACCATTGTTAAGAACTCTGTATTTTGGTGGGATCCATAAAATCCTTTGCGTGGGTAACGCGGGGTGGTGCTGTCTGGTCCAGAGAGAGCCACATGGCGTTTAGTCTAACGACCATGGACCAACGTTTTCTCGTTTCGTTAGTTGATCCAAATCAAAGCACTTTATCTATCTAAAGGCTTATTTACCTGTAAAGTTCAAATTTTAAAACTATTTTTCCAAATAATCACGTTTTAAATAAACATCAAAATTGATAAATTCTACAAAATATCTTAAAAAACACTTTATTCTAATGTATTTGTATTAATTTTTTTTATTCAATAAAAATATTAAACAGGTTAATTTTTTCTTATTGTTAAATATATTTATTTTTTTCTTTAACGTTTTTTATAACATATTAAGAGGATTAATAAAAATATGGAAAGTGAAATATAGCTAGCAATATGAAGGATAATCGAGTACGATAATAAAATGAAATATAGCGTCCAATTCTATATTCTAGGACAATATTTTAGATTTGTTTTTAACTTCACCGACCATTTATCCATTCACATTTCAAAGTGCTGCATTGACTATGTTTTTGACAAAAGAATTTCACTCGCAGCACGGAGGAAGCATCCTCCAGGAGAATATTCTATTGAAATCCAGATTCCTTTATATTTTATTTAAGTTTCTTATATTTTATACGTATATCTACTTTTTATTTATATAGTTTACTAATTGGAAAAATAAAAATACTAGTAGAGCTATTTTTATTTTTAAATATTTAAGTTGTTACTTAAATTTCTTTTATTATTTTATATAAATTTTTATATTTTTTAAAATACTAATTTTTATATTTATAAAATATTTAATTTTTTATTTTTAAAATTTAAAATTTATTCGTAAGAGTAAATATATTTTATGATTATTAATATATATTAATAATTATTATTTAATTGAAAAAATTAACACTATACAATAACTTTTTTAAAATACATTATTTTTAAAATATTATTTAATTTAATCAATCTTTATTATTTTGATGCATTTTATTTATAGTAATAGAGTTATGTCAAAATAATTTTAAAAATATTATTTTTTAAAATAATTTTATTATATATAATTATTTATAAAATAAAATTTATTATTTAATTATTAAATTATATGTATATTTATTTTAAAATAAAATATTAATACATTGTACGAGATATTAAATTAATTTATTATAATTATATGCAATTATATGTCTTTTGCATAAATTTGTTTGCAAAAACCCAGGTCTTTTATAGTTTAAGACTAAAAAAAAGTGTAAAAATCTTGAGTACTTTCCATTCTATAAATTGCATCACCTTTTTTATGTTTTGTTTCCAAACTAGCATCTCACATGTTGTAAGTTCCATTACCTTTAGGCAACTTATTTTATTTTATTTGAAAATAAAATATTAGAACATTGCACAAGTTATTAAACTAGTTTATCATAATTATTTGCAATTATATGTCTTTTGCATAAATTTATTTGCAAAAACTCAAGCCTTTTATAGTTTAAGACTCAAAAGTGTAAAATTTTTTGCACTTTATGTAACATCCTTATTTTTGTTTAACATAATAAGAATATAATTTCTGGAATACAATGAAAAATTAGTTTTATTTATTACCGGATGAATATAAAACTGAAATCATAACATATTCCGTGATTTTGCTCAAATGTATAAGAACTTTGAATAATAAAACAATAAAATTATACAAATTTTAAGAAGAACATCGAAATAAAATGAACATACATTGTTCTCTTAATATATAAAATATTAATATTTACAAAATATTCATCGAAATACATCAAAATATATTAGTACTATTTTCTAACATTTACAAAATACAAAACATAGTAAGTCTTAATGAGCAGCCTATCCATCACATGACCAAAGAGACACTAGTCATCTCTATGCTATTCCTCTATCATCACTATATCATCGGAGTCAAGGTCATCATCTAATCCGAGATACAGATCACTAGGGTCCGCAGTAACCTGGGTACCCGTAATCCGCTCAAACGTCCAATAAGATGATCTCCCAAGATGATCGTGGTTATGGTATGTGAACAGGTAGGTCAAAGTTGCTAGGTTCTCACGGTACCAGGAAAGATATATACATAGAAGATATGATGGATTCTACTTACAAGGAAATCAAAAGGAATACTATAAGTTAATTCCATTTCCATCATAATAATGTCACTAGGTACATCATTTACATATCCAACAATCCTAAAGAAACAAAGTTGTTGATACTCATTAAATACATAATTAAGTCTATTAACTACAGAACTATCTACTAATCTAATCCTCTCGGTAGGTGCTGTCATCCTTGTTCCCTGAAATGTTTACGCAATGACGAGTCTTTATTTTTATTACTAAGCATATATTTACAAATAATTCAACGATACAGATAAAGCAATCATGCAAATATCATATAACAAGATCATTAATCACCTAATTTATTCAACTTAGATCCATTACTACTAACACTTTTAGTTCTCACTTTCATTGCCCTTGAGATCCCTCGAGGTCTTCCTTAGCATAGATAGTTGTTGGATAACCGCAGCTACACAGATACAACGTGTGCCGACCCGACCCCTTTTAGCAAAAGCATGGTCAGGAGTATTAGTCAGGAAATAAGTGTGAGACTTGTGGTGCTCCTACTCTCATTTGTCTTGCACAATTCAAGAGGAGCATCCACCACCTTTATTTCTCCAAGACTTTTCAGTCTTCTCCTTCTTCCACACTTCCAGTGTACCTCTGAACTATCTATACCCATCCTTATCATATTTCTTTCCTCATTTCGTTTCTCTTTTCATATTTCTATCTCATTTCTTTATATTTTATTCTAACTCATTAGTACTTCATACAATCAAATCAGTTATTGTTAAGAGTTAGTTCCCTCAAACTCAGTTCACCATATACATGCTTATATTCAAAATAATTATCACGTTTATCATCAATTACCATAAAACATGCTTCACGCATAACGAGTTATATTCCAAATATATCAAAAAGATATTATCACCAATCACATACTCAAATCAAGCATTTTCATAAATACAAACACAAAAGTTCTTAATAATAAGATAGAGTTCTCCTTACCTTATAGAAAACTAGTTTTGGTGATGAGTGTAACGCACCAAATTTTTATAATATTGATTATTGATGTATATATATGTATAATGTGAATGGATATTAGAATTTGCATTTGAGTGCTTGATGAATATTGAATGTTGAGGTGTATAAATGCATATGGATGCGTATAAATGTATTTGTATATGATTGGATGGATTGATTGGACTAAAAAACAAGTTAAAGGTGTAATACTTGGGTGTTCTTACTGTAGCGAGAGGGCCCTGGGAAGAAGGCATGAAATTGTCGTCTTCTCGTTGCAGCGAGAGGTCCCTCGTTGCAGCGAGAGGTCCCTCGCTATAGCGACAGTTTGAGGTGCATTCCTGGGTGCAGTCTCGCTGTAGCAAGATTCAACAGAAACTAAAGTGCAATTTCTGCTGAGATTTTTGCTGTAGCGATAGAGTGTGTCGCTACAGCAAGGGGAGAATATTTCTCTGTAACAAAAGTGTCGCGACTAGAGGGGTATTTCAAGGGTTAGGGTTTGGGAAAAATCATTTCCCACTTCT